ATCACACATCAAAAACTTTAACGCTAATAACTCATAAAGCAGTTTTAACAGAAGTAGCCTTATTGCATCTGACTCCTCAATTATTGGAGAAAAAACAAAAATAAGTTGATTTTCTTGAGTATTTTTTGGTGACAGGTAACAAGATCAACGGAAATAAGGTCAATTGACTTTATATCCCCCCTGGTGCGAGATGAAGTCAATTGACATTATAACCTTTTCAAAAGCGAAACAAAGTCAATAAAAATTTGGAAATAAAGTCATTGACGCTATTTCCTCATTCAAATGAAAATAGCGTCAACAATACTTAAAGTATGTCGATTCATAGAAAAAAAATTTTTTCTTACAATAAACATTGCCCCGTAAGTGTTGTTTTTTGATAGATGGAAAAGGTTATTGCCAAATCCTCAGTGTGGTGCTTTTAATCCACACACAATCGTGAACCACCACCAATTGATTTTTTTTTTTTATTTTTTTTATTTAAAATTACGAATATAGTAAAAACACGATGCGAAAAATCAAACGCAAAACGCAGCTGGTATACGAGAAATATTTGAAGAAAGAGTGTAGAAATGATCCAGATGAACTTGTAAAACATGTTTCGTTTCCACAAAAATAAAGCGAACACTATTAAATTGAAGAAACAGTCCATGTCCAAAAATACCGGAGCAACACTGACAGAATTCTTAATTTTAAATTAGCATATGTATTGTGAACGAATTCGGAATGTCTAAGGTGGAAAAGAAACCAACCTTTCTATAAGGAAGCAATTATAGAAAAGGAATTTTCTTACACTGTATTCATGTCTCCGGCAGCAATAAATAATAAATAAATAAATAATAAAGTCAATTGACCTTATTTCCGTTGATCTTATTACCTGTGGACATTTTTTCTTTAATAAAGAGTTGGATATTTTTTAAACAGATTTTTAACGTATACAACGTTTTCTACACAGGGTTAAAGTTCCCTCTTTTTCGTGAAAATTAGTATTATTACAACGCTTTTATCAACTTGCAATGTTATATGTCCAGACCACCATTTATACTATAAATGTAACACAGCTATTTATGGCAAAGTCTAGATTGAAAATGAAAAGCGTGGGGCGCATGTAATAAACCTGAATTGATTTGAAGAGTATTATATGTGGATATATGAATAACGACTGCTTATAATCGATCTCAAATTTGTACTTTCTATGGGACTGAGATATATTATTTTCTCTTTTCCATTTATAAAAGCGTGGTATATTCAAATTTTTATTTATAGAAATGACGTGTCGTCCATTTCCGCTGTAGCGTATTTAGTGCATATTTTTAGGCGCAATATATAACTACTTGCTCCGAGGCGTCGTCGTCTACCTCTAGAGTTTTGATATGATACCAGGCAACGAGGTTGGTGTCTAGACTTTTATACGATCTTTGCCAAGCAAAGGTTTTATAACAATGAATGGTGTCTGGACACACAACCTTGCAAGTTGATAAAGGCGTTGTAAAATAAAAAACAACCAAATCAGAGAAAAAACTACCAAACAACTAAATTCGAAAATTAAAAAAAAAAAACCAAGTTTGGTTGGAAACAATCAACAGTGGCATCCGTGTATGATCTTGATTCGTAAATTGTTCTTTGCCTTCTCTTTTAGTTTCTATGCGCTCTTACGGCTCTTAATAAATTATAAAGCATAAAACCATGTACATTAATACATACATATATCTGTTTGTAATATATTTAGTGTTGCCAGACTCAAAGGAGTTTTTAGCCCAAGCCTGCGATTTGTGTGAAAGTTTTTTTTTCCATATAGGAACATACGCAAATGTTCATGTTCGTAAAAGAGCGTGGAAGCGGAGCATTTTTATATCGAATACTGCTTATACTAAGCTAAACAAAATTTAAAGTACTTGTGAAAGTTGTATGTATATAATAGCAAATAGGTAATAGCAAAAATGTTGTTCAATATGCTCTAAGAAAAAATTTTTTGTTCAATATCTTAGGCTCGCCCAAGTTCATCAAATTTCCAGTGCTAAAAAAAATGTTTCTTAGCTTACTTCGATTCTGCGAAAAAGGTCCATATACCTAATTATTTAGGACTAATACTTTCGAAGATAATTGCAATTTTATCTATTTATTTATTAATTTTTATTTTTTGAGCACATTGAAAAATCTTTATCTTTCACACTGATATTTTTACGAGCATAATGAACCATATTTTCGCTATTACAAATCCAAATTCTAAAAAAGCGGACTTTCGGCCCAGGCTAATGTATATGTGATTTAAAGAATTTAACAGTACACCGTTTTGCAAAATCAAAAAAAAAAAAAAATATTTAAAAAAGTGGTGGAAATAATTTAAAACTGTTCTATAAGTATGAAGTATGCGAGGGAATGTTATTAATAAAACAATTAAGTGAATGGGTATGACTTGATCAGTTTTCCTGGTTATATAGGGCTAAGTGCATATCGTCACCTGGAAATGCAAAAAGACATAACAAACATGATCGTTGAAATGCAAAAAGTCATAACTAATAAAAAATACAAAATTCACTTGATTTATATTTACGATGGATTTCATCGAATTACAACTCCCCACATAATTTTATGAAAAAAATATTAAAATATTGGTCATGACTTTTTCCATTAAATTGACGATATTGTTACGTCTTTTTGCATTTCAGGTGACGATACATACTGCCCGCAGTGGAATGAATACTTTCAGATAATGTATTATAGAATATTAAGTTTTGATAGTAGTAGTAGTATCTCCTGTCGTAAAATAATGGGAAAGTGGAGAATTTCGTTAATTAGGGAACGCATTATCACCGATAAAAATATCAGCATGGAAATCCCACGCAGAATCACTCTTGCCAAGATGTAGACTGAGTAGGCAATTCGGGAGAGACTAAGTGGAAAGGGACTTGGCTTCACGTGGCATTTCCAATTGGCGTCAGTTGGCACAGAGAGAAACAACGCTATTCGGGTTAAAACTGGTAAAACTGTCAAATAAACCGTGGGCACCATTTTTTGTTTACATAAAAGTTTTTTATCTTTTGGCGATCGTCTAAATTTTGCTCAAATACATCAGCAAATTAACAAAAAATACTTACAGAACTTGATATTTCTTCACTAGGATATATTTAATAAGCTGAAAATGCAGATGCGCTGAACTCAGCAAAAACTCTTCGTGGAAAATATTGCAACTTCTGACAAAGAGAGGGCCGATGTTACTCTCCCATTTTCCCCCCTAATTTACCAGAGAATCAAGTACGGGAACATTTTCTGGTAAAATCCTGTAAACTCTTGCAACTTCTTGCGAGTTAGGGAACGCAACTATTGTCTGTAGTTTCGCGACTAACACTAGCGGACGAGATAGATAAATGCTTGCCTGAAATAGTCAACATTGCGACAAGACGAACATACATACATACACTGCAGCCGAGGTATTTTTGCGATAATTACTGGACATTGGGAACGGAAAGCTATCAGTCAATGAGAGATTAAGACGAGTTTTATTGCTTGATAATTTTTTTCAACTTAGAAATATAAAAAGGAGAACTGATCGAAAAAATGTTTTTTTTTTATTAAGAAAATGAATTATACGAACTGGCTTCGTGAATGAGCTATTCTTGCTACGAAGAACAAGGATGTCTTTCAACTAAATAATAGTGGTATTGACAGCAGTCGTTGCTTGAGCTGGTCTGCTCTTTCACCAGACTTCCAGGACTCATTAATGCTCAAGGTCAACCTTTGGAAAAGTATGGTTTAGATTTAGATGAGGATTGCTTCTCAGATGTTTCGTGTACCCATGTCGGCAAACCAAATATCCTTGATATGATGTGTGCACACAATTCTTCTTCTTCTTCTTCTTCTTCTTCTTCTTCTTCTTCTTCTTCTTCTCCTTCTTCTTCTTCTTCTTCTTGATATGATGTGTGCACACAATTACTTATTACAAAATCAAACTCATATGAAACGTATGCTAGCTAGTACAAAAATAAATTTGAACAGGAAATTGAAGGAATTTTGCTTGCCTTTCGGCAGCGGGCGGATTTAAAATTGAATAAATATCGAAGAGCTGATTGCATTTTACCAAATACATACCAGAAAAATTATCAAGCTTCCATAACGATAATTCGGTAACCGCTAACCTATAATAAATTAATTTTACACAAACAAAATATTTACATGGTGAAAATTACCAAACACCGAGTTACCGAGTAGAGTACCAAGCTCGCTGTGAAGACCCCTACTGTTTCAATAACTGCCCCGAAGTGGAAAAATACTTACTTTTATCTATAGTTGCATTATATTTACATGGCCTTATTCATAAAAAAATAAAATAGTATTAAAAAGTTCCATAAAGTGGCATTTTCATAAAAATTTTCGATTTATAAAACAGTTAAAGTATTCTTAATTTTTTATGAATTTGGTTGATAGATTATTAAAACCTCGATACAACGAAAAATGGAAAAGTGTGGAAAAAATTCTTTCTAAGTATAGATTATTAATTTTTATAACGGGACTGTAACCGTCAATATATTCACAATTCATAATGTAGACGCTTTTCAGTCGAGACTTCGTTAACGGGACTATAACCGTCAACATATACCGAAGGTTTTCATGCTCAACACTTCTTCGTTATATCTATTGGAAAATTTCTGAATGGAAAATTCCGCAACAACGAGGTTTTTCAAGGGTCTCAGCAAAAATTGTATGCTGAGATTTTATCAAGATTCGTTGCATCGAGGTTTCACTGTGCAATCATTGAGCATACAAATAAATGTATGCACATGCCGAAAGTTTGAAATGGTTTCGCTTTAAAATTACTGCCCCAACCTATCATTTTGTATGTATTTTTTGAATCTAAATTGTCAAACTGATTGGCATCACTAAAATGTGCAACAATTGGTCTCTCCTCTCTCTCACTCTGCTCTTATCAGAAAGCTACGAGTTTGAGACTCTGTTGGAGCACATTTCGAATTATTTCGAAATTCGTCTCACAGTTGTGGCGCGTGTGCTGTACTGAGAGCGAGTGTTATTCGTCGCGTTTGTTAAAGCTGGCGGAGCATTCCTTATCGCATCTAACGTGCGCTGAAGTTTTACATTCCCATTGTTGTATACATAGTACCTCTGATATCAAAGTGAATGAAAACGTGGAAGGAAACCTGGAAACCTGTGCGCTTTTTTAAATGTTTTATACTCAATGATCGCCAAAAACATTAATATTTCGGTTTGTTTTTTTTAAGTTAAGAAGAAGGCGTGTTTTTGTTGTTTCATATGTTCCCATATGTGTGCATATACACATGAATATATACATGAATGTACTATATGCGTGGGTACATATGCGTACAATATACATTCATATGTATGTACATACATATGTGTGTGTGCGCATTAGCCTTAGTTAGTCATATTTGTTTGCTTATTTCCGTATCACAACGTTTTTTTTTTTTTCATTTGTCGGTTAACAAATTTGAGGCACGTGGAAAACTCTGCATTCGATTTTCGCATTTACAACTTCATACATGTATGCATGTATGTATGTATGTTTATAAAATAATTTATTTAAGGTTGATACTGTGTATAAAGGTTAAATAGCATTCAGACTTAAAAATGAAATTTTTAAAATGAAAAGACGAGAAATATTCAAAAATGTAACTTATGAAGATCAGTCAGATTCAAAATGTATGCTTTCGAAACGGTCCATAAAAGATGAAGTGAATTGATTTGTCTCTATAAAAAAAATGTTGTCTTCGTTTCCCAATTAAGGCACATTTGTCGCCGTGAGGATGTTACTTTTTTGAGCGCCTGCGCCGCGTTCTTATCTCGACTTTTTTTTGCACTCCTTTATTTTGTGCTCGAATGCATTTAACCTAATAACGGCGGCCGTCCTATCTTAATGATTAGAGATGCTTGCTGCCACTCGGAAGGACTGAAAAAAAAGCATGTTTTCTGTTTTGTAAATCGGCCAACTCTGGGCACAGTTCAATTCTTTAGATGTAACATTTAAATTACTGATCAAATCTCTCTCAACATTAACGCCTATTAAAGAAATACATGAAGTTTAAATTGTACCATAACTATAATTCTTTATTTTTTACCACTACATAGATCACAAATATCATTAAAAAAAAATGTTTGTTAAATTAGGTGTAGAATTCTTTAAAATCAATATTTTTCGATTCGAAATCTCTGGTTCTCTTCAGGAGACTTTCAATAACACTACACAATTGTTTATTGAACCATTTTTTAATACTAAAGATTTTTTATTTATCCCCCCATTGCATTTTTCGGCATTTTCTGGGGGTTTTGGCGGACTTATAAAATGTAGTTGCTATGAAAAACTGGGTTAAATAATTAATTGGGTATTATTATTGGGAATCTCATGAAGAGAAACAGAGTTTTCTGAATAAAAAATATTGGTTTTCAAGAATTATATACCCATATAAAATACATGAAAAACTTTGAGCGCTTTGAACGACCTCCAAATATTTTTTGATTTCAAAACAAAATATAGGGGTATATTTTTTCGGTATAGAACAATCCTGTGGGTTGAGAGCATAATAATTCCGACTTTACTTCTTCACATGCATATTAAGACCACCCTAATGTACATTAGACCACGTCAAAAAAAATATAAAAAATCAGCATTGCGACCGGAATAATGCCAAATTTCCACTTGGCATTATAAAGATAAAAAATGTGTGCCACTTAAAAATGTTATGTTGAAACAGACATATGACAATTTTTATGAACGCAATGGTACGGGTATTTTTGAATGCTCAATATTGTCATTAAAAATTGTTATAATTTAATACCTAATGGAAATCAAGCATACAACTAAAATTTTAGCATTTGATATAGTAATGATCAGGGAACGGATTCTTAGGACCTAAAAACCTATAAAAAAAGGCAAAATAAAACAGCGAAATAGGCAGAAAAGGGCACTAGAAATCGCAAAAAAGGCAAAAGAAGGCACTAAAAAAGACAAAAACCGAAAAATTATCAAAAAATAACTTCGAATTTTTAACTGTATAGTTGTAGTAACATTGAACCACCGGATGCATTTTGAAGTTTTCTGGCAGCATTTTCATGTGATTTTTAATAAGGACTTTTTCCTCGCCCTTAACAATTTTGTCCACACCCCGTATTGTTGTCAAGCCTACATTAGCTGAGAAAACGGCTTTGAAAATTTCCAGCACCAATTTGGCAATAGGTCCCTGCGCTACTAATAAGCCGCTTCTCAATAGTGGCATTCACCGAATAGGGCAAGTGGCCTGACACTCTGGCAAAAGAGCAGATGAGCTCAGGCAACGATTGTTGACAACAGTCAACAGAACTTCTTTCTGTGTGCGCGGTTGTTGTTGTTGTTGTTGTTGTTGTTGTTGTAGCAGCATACAAATTCCCCAAAGAGTTTTTCGGGTGTGTTGCTGGAGTGACAGTCCTTGGCCAAATATAAATCTGGGTCGTTCCGGTTCAGTGATGCCAGACATTCTCTGTTAAATATCCCACGGAAATGGGGAAAAAATCCCTCAATTACCCACATCTTGAAAATTTATCCCACAAAATTCCCAACGAATTTAAACATATACAAGTTTCAGTAGTAAAGAAGTAAAATTCATATAAAATAATAATAATAGTTTGGCTCTTACACATATGTGCTTTTCCTCCAATTTGTGGCGGTCCCCTTGATGTTGTCTCACAAAGGGGAGGGACCTACAGTTTTACACCGACTCCGAATGGCGAGTGTATTTTTATGAGAAGCTGTTTTTCATGGCAGGAATACACTCCGAGGTTTGCCATTGCCTGCCGAGGGCCGACCGCTGTTAAGAAAAAACCCCTTTTCTGCATTTTTTCACTCATTCATTTTTTCACTTTCATTTTTTTGCTCCCTCACTAAGGGCCTAAAAGAATTTTTTGGTGACTTTAAAATTGAAGCACATTCATGTGCTTTTTAACATTTCATCAGATAATTTGTTCCGCTTTTTACATGAAACATCAGTTACAACTGAAAAGATTCTTTCTTACTCAGCGCTTGAATTGGTTAACGTAAGAAAATTTTCGAAATTGTCCTTATACTTTTTAACAATTATATACCATTTCACTCCACATCACATCTTCAGAACGATTAATTACGTAAGAATGTCGAATATTCTTGAATTTTGATCAATTATGCAACAATAACTGCGTCAAAAGAAAATCCCTTATTTATATAAAATGTCCCTTTTTTCCCTTTTAATAATTTTTGATGCAAAATATCCCTCAAATAGGGAAATTACCCACAATCTGGCATCACTGTTCCGGTTACGTAGACCCGACTGTCGTGGGAACAGTATTTTTGATCAGAACTTCTTTCTGTGTGAGCGGTCCTCGGGCGCGCTTCAAAAAAATAACCCTCATAAGTCCAACTCAAACTACACAGTTCACAATATTGTTGCGTCCAACTTGATTTCGCGTTAGACGGATGTATTGGATCTATGTAGATAGAACTAGTTTCGCCGAGGAAAAACTAGTTTGTGCTAAGATCGGGTTTGGCCGGTAACATATGTATACATCCGAACGAGGGGTGTAGTCCCCGTCACGTACCTGAAATTTGTTTCACTTTTGCGCCGAGTCACGAAAGGCAGTTTGTTAAATATCCAGATCTAAAACTATTCAGCTACAGAACCAAATTCATCAGCTGACTATGATGTCTTTGGGTTAGTCATTTTTTAGTTAATGCATTTTTCACAACTCTGATACATACATATAATATTTGCTGCTTTAAAACACAGTTAATTTTTTTTTTTCCGTCTTAACTTAAGTGAAAATAATTATCAATTTATATTTGAATTATTTGGTAATATTTGATAAAAGAAAGAACACGAGGTAAAAAATCAGTACTGCGCTTTCCAAATAAGTTCGTCTGGCATCCCTTTGCCTAAGTTCTTTCCAATTTTATTTCGTGACCCATAAGTACTTAAATGTTAGTGACCACCTCCAACATTTGTGCATTCGAATTGTATGAATTTATGCTTTGCGTAAATGTGTTTTGGTCTTGGACTTGGAAGTTGGTTTGTTTAATGGTTGATTGCATGTCCGGTATGAGATGGTCAATGGCGTACTTACATACATACATATGTATAGTGCGGCATTGGCCGTTGTTTGTTGTATGTTTACGGCTTCGGACAACTATCAACTTGTTACCAGCTACCAGTCAACAATTTGTAAGCCACTCAGCCACTCAGCCGGTCGGACTGACGGTATGTATGTACATATTTCCATTAAAGTTGCCATATTTTGTACGTAAACCCTCAAAATATATACATACATACATATATGAAGCTATCCGACAGACTACTTCAAATGATATTTTATGCCGGTCGGAGAAGATTTAAATAAAGGTTGCGACTAGACCCGGAAGATCGAAAAACCCTAAAATATCTCGGCATTTTATTGTTTTTAGATCATTTTGTAAAAAACTTCGAACAAAATGCAACATTTTATTGATCGAGATTATTATATTGTGAAAGATATAGTTAAATATACATATCGTTACCTTAATATCGTCGCTGCAATGCAAAAAGCCGGCTATTTGTATGTACATATGGAAATTTTTATTTGTTAGCTACCACCCTAACATTTTGAAGGTTATTTTAACAAAAATCACCTTACTTAATAGTATTTAATGGTGTAAATCGATACCTGAGTGGAAGACCGACCTATCTCGGCAGCCAGTTCGAAAACGCCCTATCTCAGCACATTTTCAATGTATTTTCAGCTGAGTTAAGTTAAATTTTATTTTTTAAGGAATGAGTTAATCAGCCTCTGTGAATCCTAAACTTCAAATAATAAAAGTTAATAATATAGAAACTGAAAATAAATATGTAAAACACCATTCCATAGCAAAACGATATGTTTAGTGATGAATGGTATGTACATACATACTTATATAACAGAAATAATGCATTGGAAAAAAATTACAAGAAACTAATCTCGTATAAGAAGAGTAAATTTAATCATAAAATATTTTTTTGTTGTTTTTCCTAAGAATAGATTTCTTGACTTGGTTATTGTTGCCCCTGCTTTCGAAGATAACACTGTCCAACAAAATTTTGTTGTTATGACCGTAAAGATACTCTGGATTGGTTCTAGTTTTCGAGCAACTAAGGTTTAAAGTGCCGCCTTTCTGGTCATTTTTTAACCTCTGTAAAAAAATACACTGATGCAATATATCTGTCTGTCTGTATG